TCAACAGTAAAACAGGGATAAATATTCCATCCTCGTTAATCTGTAATGATATTTTTAATGTGCTTTCAAAGTAGCTATTTTCCTCAGATGGCCCAATCCTAGAATGGTTTGGGTTGAAGGGTCCTTAAAGCTCATCCAGCTCCAACCCCTGCCACGGGCAGGGACACCTTCCACTCGAGCAGGTTGCTCCAAGCCCCTGTGTCCAACCTGGCCTTGAACACTGCCAGGGATGGGGCAGCCACAGCTTCTCTGGGCACCCTGTGCCAGCGCCTCAGCACCCTCCCAGGGAAGAGCTTCTGCCTCAGAGCTCACCTCAGTCTCCCCTCTGTCAGCTTAAAGCCAAAAACTGAGTTTTATGGTTGAAAACGTGTGGTGAATCACAGTCGTAAGGCTTTGAAAAGAAATACAGAGACCAGCCACACAGCTTTGCACACTTTACACTGGTCGAAGGAACGTGCCCTCTGTATTCAGACATGTGCTTTGCATGTTAATAGAAGCTGACTGGTATCCAGACCTTCGTGGTGTTAATGTTCTCTGCAGTGATAACAACAGCATAAAAGCAAGCCCTCTGGCTAAGGAGATAAATATTTGTACACTGATACTGTTTTATTTATAACAGAGAAGACAATGCTTGGAGCAGTTACTCAGAAATTGTACATTTTAAGACAACAGCCTCACTTTCTTCTGTTCCTCAGTTAGGATCTAGAGTGGCTTTGGGTCTTTGAGCTGTATAACTCTCATGGACTGAGGACAGTGGCCCAGTTTCTAGTCATTTGCTTTCTATCTGCCTGAATCTTATGATAGGATGTACTTTAGGAAACACTAAAAAGAGCAGGAGTGGGGCTGTGGGAAAGCTTTGGATAACCTCTCACCTTCACTGAGGACCCAACCCACCTGCTCTACACAGATGGGTTGCTCTGCTGAATTCAGTGGGATAATTTGCAGCTACTCCCAGGGATAGGGAGTATAAAACCCATAAACCCACCATGTTTTATGGTGGGTGCATGCAGATCTTTTCCTTGGAAGGGCACTGTGGGAGGCTGTATTCTGGAATGGGCCCTTTTCCAAGATTTTACACCTACTTGAGTTCCTTGTTGGGTCAGGCAAAGTTAAAAGGCATAGCGCTGCTCAGGACTGGGATTGTTCTTTGGATAGTTAGGGGATTATTCTGAAGGCTAAAACGTGAAATAACTGAGTTGCACAAAGGCTCTCAGACCTTTTCCATTATATTTGGCACATGTTCACAGAGAATTTGCAGACTGGAGGAATAGCTTCCCTTGGAAATCTCATTAAGAAAAGCATTAGCTGTGTCTTAATATAATTAAACAGCTAGATTTAGAGCTAACATTGTGTGACTAACCCGTTCTTTGTAACTGCTGTACTGATGACCATAATCTGAGAAACTTCTGGCTGACCTACTGCCTGGCTCACTTGTGACGTGTGCCATGGTTTTAAGACAGCTTAATATTAGAAGTGGTTAACAGCTCCCTTCTGGCCCGGAATCTCCTTATGCACAGGCAATGGATGCTTCTCCAACTGGCTCCATGGCCTTCAGTGGAACAAGGTCTGGTAAATCTGTGAATTTTTAGTTCTGAATTTGGGAGGAAAAGGGAAAAAAAAAAGGAATGAAAATGTAGGTTTTGATCAGTCTATAAAGAACTTCTTAAATCAGGACAGAACAAAACATGCTTTGGTTGAAAAATACATTTTGTTCATACAAAACAGTCCCAATAAAAGCAAAGTAAATGATGAACTGGGTTCCTTAAATTGATGGTGATAATTATATCAGTGTATTTCTTTTAGCAGCTTGGCAGACTCAGCATTTTCCTGTGAAGCGGTATGTGGGACCCCACTGCAATGACTAGTCTTACCCTAGTCTGTAGGGTAAAGATAGGAAGTCAGCATCTTGCCATGTGCTTCCATGGCTTTAACACAAGCTCCTAAAAAAAAAACAAGTTAAAAGTTTCTGGTAATGGTTTTATTTCAGTCTGAACAGTTTGGTGAATTTGATTGAATTCCAGAATTACTTCATCCTCCCCGAAACAGAGTTTTTCAGCTAATAAATCCTCCTGAAATGCCCTTCAGTAGGACAGCCTGGCCTTAACTTCGTGACTGCATTTAAGGCTACTTAAAAAAACCCCAGAGGTACATGGAATGCATTAAAGACAAACTATCACCAGGCTTTTATTTAGTAAAGGTAACTGGCAGCAGCTGCTGTGACTCAGTGAATCAGAAATAGTAGTAGATAATGGATGGTAAGACAAAGACAGTGTAATATTTTTTCACATGAGAGCGCCTGATCGTGTGACAAGGTTTTATTATAACAACTGTACTTCTGTTTTTCCAAATGATTGATGCACGCAGTACTCTGCATAATCTCTGATGATGAATGTTGGTGCCATGAAGCAACCATTACTCACTGTGCTATTATTGAACATGAATTTTGAATGACTTGTGGCATAGGGCTGCTGGGTACTTAAATCAATGAAATAAGAGCCAGGAAGAGCCAAAGATAATGTTCCTCCTGCAGTATTGACTCCTGTGGTTTATGCACAAATGATGTTTCTGGTAACTAGTTAAGGGGTCACATCTATGGACTCCCCATACATGGGATGAAGGAAGGAGGAGGCATAAGAACCAATGCTTACTGTTTGGGTATGAAAGTTGTTTTGGTTTTTTCTCTTCCTTCCATCCTGCATTGGTATGAAAAGCTGGGAATGGTTAGGAGGGATCAATGGTTTGGCTTTAGGGAATTCATCTTCCACTTGTGCTGCCTGAGGATGGAACTAACCTGAAAGGTGGGGGAGCAGCTTTCCTAGCTGTGCTCGTCAAACACAACACGTTGCTGCTCACACCTGGTGGTTCAGTTACACAGAAGAGGAGTATGGGAGTACCAAGACACATTCCTTTTTCCATGGGGCTGAGGTTGCTCCATGGATTACCCATGCTGGGTTCCAGGATTGGAGGGAAATGTGCTGGCATAGTTGAATGCTCTCCACCTGGCTTTCAAAGATGAGGAGAGTTGCACTCACTATAGTTGTACATCACTGACCTTCCCATCTCCATTCCCACATCAGGCATGAAGTATTGAACAAGACTTTTGGTTCTTGACCGCTGACAAGTGGATGAGTTAATCCTCCAAGAGATGGAGGGTCCACTTCTTGCTAAAGCTTCTTTGTAAAGCTAAATATGTAGCTGTGTATCAGCAATACCACTGTCAGCAGAAGTGGAGTTTATGTGACATGGCCAGAGGACCAACCAGTATTTCCTGTGATCTTTGTTCTCCACAGCCTCACAGTTTATGTGGGGAGAGGAGGAGGAAGGTTACTCAGCTGGAAAGAACTGTTGGTGCAGTGCCCCCAGGCAGACTGGCTGCTCCTGAGCTCTGCCATGAAAATACAGCCCCATGGAGACTTCGTTTCTCCCGAAAGCACTGATTCCACAGGGGCATTGTGGTAGCAGGGGAATACAGATACTTAATTTTAACAACTTCTTGCATATGTCTACTTTAGGAGGTTGGGCTCTCACTATGGTAAATAAAGTGAGAGCAGACCTCTATATTGGGGTCTAGCTCTGGATTACCATGTGGAAAAGGTATTTTTTTCCTTGGAATATAGAAAAAGCTGAGGAAGAGTCATCTCCTAAGTAGAAGACAGATTTTAGATGACATGACTACTCCTCTACGGTTTTGCATCTTGAATAGGACAAATTTACAACTTGTGATTTCTGCTGCACTGCTAAATATATATTTAAATGTTTATTTAACTTCTGTTTAACAACGATGGAGATATTCCCAAAAAACTCTTAACATGTCAAATCTTTATACCATTGTCCTTTTAAAGGAATGACAATGTTCGTCTTCTAATTGTAAGCATGTATATTCTTGGATTGTTTAAAATATTTAGATTTTACTTTTGCATTCTCATCTCCTCTTTCTTCCTTTTTTTTTTTCTAATTTGCCACAGATGGTTGAGTGAAGGAGAGGAGAAGACAAAAGAAAATTGCATTAATATATTGATTGTATTTGACACAGGAGCTATCTATGTTTTCAGAGTCTGTTCCTCCCCCCCTCTCCCAATAATAACCTCATAAAAAACTTCTGTGAAATCTATTTAGTATAGATGGGGTAGCCTAAGGATGACCGCTTGATCTAAGGAAAATCACAGCGTTTCCTAACCCTGTATTGTATTTCTGCAATAGTATTTCTAAATACACTGTACTATGATTTTACATACCTGTTCACATATCCTCATAAATGGCTGATATTTGCCAACAGATACTGCTCAAGAAGTTACTTCCTTTCTTATGGCTGGAATGAAATTTCCCTCTCTTAGCTCCTCTGTTAAATGCCAAGTGATTTCTATTTTAACTTATTTCAGTATGAGTAGGGGACAGTCATAACTCACTGACTTATTTGAGCATAAATGTAACGTGATGCTTGCCTGGTATCATTGTGACTGATCTTTGAAAAGGGATTTTTATTGATTTCTTGTATATGGCTTAAAGAATCTTGTGGACTTCCGAAAGTTTTCACCTGCCAGTCATAGAACCATAGAATGCCAGGTTGGAAGAAACCTCAAGGATCATCTGGTCCAACCTTTCTTGGCAAAAGCATGACCTAGACTTAGATGTCCCAGCACCCTGCCCAGTCACATCTTAAACATGTCCTGTGTTGGGGAATCCACCACTTCCCTGGGGAGATTTTTCCAATGGCTGATTGTTCTCATTGTGAAAAATTTGTCTCTAGTGTCTAAATGGAATCTCCCTGGGATTAATTTGTGCCTATTACTCATTGTGTTTTCTACGTGACTCCTTCTAGAAAGGGAGTCTCCATCTTCTTTGTAGCCACTTTAAATACTGGAACATGATTATAAGGTCTCTCCTGAGCCTTCTTTTCTCTAGGCTGAACAAACTCAATCATGTATGCTAGGTCTCATGCTAGATCCAGTTTTGAACTGGCACCCACTCTCAGACCTGTTTCTCTTTGTACTAATCAGATATCTGTTTTTCTTTTATCTAGGTTACGGTCTTTGGTAAAACAGTTAGAGAGAGGGGAAGCTTCAGTTGTAGACCTAAAGAAGAACTTGGAATATGCTGCGACTGTTCTTGAGTCAGTATACATTGATGAAACTAGGTGAGTTAACTACAGACAACAGCACTCTTCTTTTATCTGTATCTACCACCGAGACAAAATTGTAATTTATACATTAGCTGGAAAAATTGTTTTAGCCAAGATTTATTACTCACAGACATGATGTTTTTAATCATTAAAATATTGTATTCTGTGTAGAGTAGATCTTCACTCTTTGGTCTAAAAGCTTCTTTAAGTTTTCTGTGGCAGGGAAGGAGATAAAAAACAATCATACATTTAATATATATTCTCTTGGAGAAATGTTTTCATAATAATTGTGTCCCACTTTTCTGGAAAGTTTCTAAATTCCTACTTCTCTGTTCCTTTTGAATCATGTTAAATCACAGAATCATAGACTAGTTTGGGTTGGAAAGGACCTTAAGATCATCTAGTTCCAAATTTTTTCACTTGCGTCAAGTCTTTGAAATTAAAAAAGGTCATGATAGAGGTAGGCTGATAAGATGTTGCAGAAGAGTTCTCCTCTCTGTTATATGCTAAATGCACTGGCAGAGTCACCTGAGATGACCAGAATGAGAGACAACTGTATGATACTAATTGGGAAGTTAGACATGACTGTAAATAAGCTGTGAAGGGCAGAAAGGTCAGGAATATTGACAAGCTGAAGATGCGAATTCAGTGGATGATGATGTAGTTGTCCTTCAGAAGGCTGATACTTGTTTGTTGGCCCAATAGTGAGTTTCACAATCTGACATTTAACTATACAAGAGAATATACAATCTGTTGAAGACTTGTACGATTGTGTTCCATTAGGGCTGATGAACTTTTAACAACTGCTTTAATTAGAATATATATAAGTTTCTTTTTTGATTATAATGTTGCAGTGTTCTCCAAGGGAGTCTATTTAGCCATCTTTTTCCTCCCTTTTCTAGGCGTTTACTGGACACAGAAGATGAACTCAGTGACATCCAGTCCGACTCCGTGCCCTCGGAGGTCCGGGACTGGTTGGCTTCTACCTTCACACGGCAAATGGGGATGATGCTCAAAAGGACGGAGGAAAAACCCCGGTTCAGGAGTATTGTCCATGCAGTACAAGCTGGGATATTTGTGGAAAGGTGAAGGAGCATGTAATTACATTGTTCTAGTAGCTTAGTATGACTGGTATGAACTGCAGACCATGACTGATGTGAAAACTCAGGAGCTTAGGAAGGATTTAAAAAAACCCACTGAGTTCTCTCATTCTTCTCTGTTGTGATTTGCATCAGAGGAGGGGGTAAAAGAATTCTGTAATTTGGGGAATGGGTGAATTTAATTCTCCAAAGAGGGATGAATGTTTTCAGGTCTGAGTGCAGAGCATGACCAAAAAAAAGGCAGGGGGGAAGTGAAGGAAGACTTCACACAGGTTCATTTCAGATGGGAGAAGAGAGCTTTTCGTCATCTCTTTTTAGTTCTGTGTTGCTTAAGTGCAAAAAAGGGTGGCCTGTGGGAAGGCACTTTAGCTATGACAGTGTTTCTGTATTCACCATGCCTGTTAAACACAGTGTGGCTTGAAAACAAGTTTAAAACCTGGTACATGCTTCAGTACTTTGTTTAGTATGGTTGCAGATGTTTATTATTGCCTTACTCTTTCTCTCTCTTTCTCCCTCTCATACACACACACAGTGAACACCCAAAAGATTTTATAGCAGTCTTAAACAAATGCAGACAACAGTAACAGCTGTACTGAACTAGAGTTGATTCATTGCAGACAACAGGTGATTTCTGATGTATATTCAGAATTAGCTCACATGTGGATCAGCAAGGAGCAAGGGAACTGAAAGAGCAGTGTAGTTATCTGCAAAAAATGGGGAACATCTTGTTTATTTGAGTGTAGCCTTTCCCTCTGATGAAGACCTGATTTTGGCAGGTTCTCTGTGATGTCCTGCCAGGTAACAAGCTACGAGATACCAGGGAGTAGAGTGTCTTAAGGCAGGCTATACAAAAAGAATAGTAGAGAGAATATATAAGTTAGTTAGGAACTGTATAATAGCAAGTTAGGAACAAGAAGGAATAACCCCCCCCAAATTGGAGCTAGGGTTTCCTGAGCTAAATAGGTCTCCTGTAATGGTCTGTTGCTTTATTGGTTTTGGTTGGTTGTTTGGCTTGTTTTGTTTAAATCTATTTATGTGTTACCTTATCTATTTTTTCTTGGTAGAATGTACAGACGGACTTCAAATATGGTTGGTTTGAGCTACCCGCCAGCTGTAATTGGAGTGCTAAAGGTAATCCAAGTAAAAAGGTGTTGGGGGTGGTGGTTCTGTGCAAAGCATCAAGTAACACTGCGATATTTGACTTGGTAAGGGGGTCTTAGTACTTGCTCTTTCCTTCTCTTTGACATTTAGTTTAGTTCACATACATTAATCATTTACTGGCCTAAGGGAATAGCCTTTCAATAAGGGAAAAAATAGTGTTCAAGGCTGTGGCCATTATGAGGTTGTGAAGGTTACAGCTCTGTTCTAGATTACAGTGATTAAACCGAGGACTTCATGATGTGCTGGAATCAATCACAACCTCCCACAAAGAAGAAGGAAAACATCAGTGGAGTGAGGTGGAGGAGGACAAGGATAGGTTGCTGTGAGAGAAGGGAATTTCTTCCATTGCTTCAGCTTCAGGTCTTCAAGGTGACAATCAGTTTAGGAATAGCGACCCTTTTATGACTTTCAGGGGAAAACTGATTAGTCAGAAGTAGTCAGAAAGAAAAAGAAAAAGAAGAAAGATTCAATCCATGAGACAATTGCAAGGTTCTTGCTTTAGGCAGGAATTATCAAACTACAAACACCAGTTAGCAACCAACTTCCTACACAGCAGCTTTGCAGACTACATGTTGCATGTGGTTCAAGCAAGCCATGCAATAGCAAAAAAAGAGGTGATACAGTGGGGCAATCATCCTGGTCTGTCATTTGACTAGTGCCATACATACCATTCATACAGACATGTTTGAATGAGTATGTTGATTTACCCAGTAATTTGTGGTGATCTGCTGTTCAGCACTGTAGTGCTAGAGGCAGAACTTCACATTAACTAACTGCTGAAGTAGTTACCTACTTTAGAAGTGGATTTTTCAGCCTTTTCTGATGCCCATGCTGTCACTGCAGTATTTTCTCGGCTAGCTAATATCCAGGTAATGAACACAGAACCTGTTGTCACTTGCAGTGTCTGCAGTATAGATTTCAAAAATCAAAAGCTTGTCTGTGGCTACAGAAATGTCAGGCCTTCCAGTTTTTCTCCTCCATCACAAGACATCTATGAAGTTCTGTGTCCCTTTTGATCTCTCCCTAATATAGGGGTCATTTCTGTGTTAAAATCGCTATTTTTAGGTCATAAAATCCACTAATTTTCAAAGCATAATTGGTGCTGCTGCAAGCCTCTGAGCCATCTGTGGCACTGTCATGCTTCTGTTAAGAGGATTTTCCCCCCTAGTTATGCAGGGTAAAATGCTGCTGTCATTATTGTCAATAGCAAAACTTCTGTTTACTTGACAAGAGCAAGGATTTCTCCCTCAGTAAAATCTAAATAGAGCTATCATAAAACTTAGCATCTTTATGGTTATATTATTTTGTGCAAACGAACAATTCTGATGCACTGTTCTGCAATTTCATTGTTTGGTAAATTTTATCTGCTGCAAGAGCACAACATTAGCTATAGGGAATGTACATAAAGAAAAAAACCCTTTTATTTCTACAAAACACAATTGCCTTATAGTGAATTAAATTTCAGCATAGATAAGACATCATTTTCAATGCCATATGACCAAAAAGTAAATTATTATATATATGCAAGTGTTACATTAATTTGCTTTACTAAGTGATTACAAAATAAAACCACTTAAAACCCAGGAAAATACAGTTCACTGAGTGGATGCTTTGGGCATTATTTTTCTTGCCCATTTTCTAAGTGTGTTAAAGGGCTTTAAAACATGTTTTCTTGGTGGAACTTTTTCTTCCGTTGTTTTTCCTCTCCAACACCCACTGAAGGTGTTGAAAAGCTGCAATTTATGATTGCTGTTCTGTAACTTGGGCCACAAATCATCTCTGGAGAAGCTTGACCCTGCCTTCAGTGTGTGGCTTCACACAGCTTGTGATATCAACTGCTCTGCAAGCAAGTGATTTACTAGGATAGATGAAAGCATGATGAAGCTAAACCTTCAGCATCCTTGATATTGCCTCACTAATTAGCCTCTCTGTGGACTGTACTTCCACAAGAGGAAAACTCAGCTCTGTGTAATCAACATTATGCAAGTAGCAAGGTTATGAGGTTCAGCCCATGCTGGAGAGAGCTGGTACCAGGATACACTGGTCTCATTCAGAACATAAGAAGTCCTGTAGCTATGCTGATGTATGGGTGACCAACCACAAGGTGGTTAAATGTCATTGCCCTTTGCATTTGACTTGAAGTCAGGTCCTTACTTGGAACATGACCATGACAACAAAGGTGGATTGGGCTTTAAGAGCTCAGTAGATAATTGTAATGTAGAATTGCTAAGAAAAGATGGCAGATTTTTAGATAGACTCTAATCCTTAACCCCCATTTCTTGCACTGGGAGCAGCTGTAGTTGTCTGTCTTTCTTGGTGGAAGTGCCACAAGGAAATGGGAGGTAACCTGCAACAGAGTTTGGAAGTGGAAGGAAACTTCCATGTATGGATGTCAATCTTTAATATGTGGTTTAAGGAGTGTCGTTTGGATAAATCCCTGTGGGAAGTACATCAAAGTTCTCAGCAGGTAAGAGAGATTGAGACCTGGTCCTGTGCCAGATGCAGCTGCGTGGTTGGTCTGTATGTCATCCTTGCAGCTATAACTTTTTCTCTTTGTTGTTAGGAGAGAAAGCTTCATAGGGTTTCAGGCACATCCATTTCTGAGATCAGGAATCACTCATTATCTTGCTAGATAATCTTGCTGTCAGCTCCCACGACCTTCCCTAAGAGTTGAGATTTGAACTCAACCTTCTACAAGAAGGTTTATTCCTTATACTTCATATTTATGAGCCGGGAAGAGAACTTTCCTTCCTCAATCTCTTGACTGACCACCCTGAAACATTATTATATCATTTACAGCTGACTGGAACTTTCCCAGCTAGAATTACATGTTTACTCTTCTGTTATATAGGTTGGGGTTTATATCATTGTTAGCACTTCATGTAACCTTTCGGTGATTTTCTCCTGCTCTGTAGTTTTCTGAAAGCCCTAATGGAATCATTTATCTTAAAAAAAAATTAAGGAAAATTAGGGTCATGCTGCCCTTGGCCAATTTAAGCTGCAGTAAACACAATTCAGGATTAATATTAGAATCAGAAGGATCTCTTTGCGTGCAGCAAGGTAGTTCTAGTTAGTTATTCTTTTGGTTGATTAAACAGTAAGTGGTAAAAAGTACAGATGTCTGTATTTTTTTTAACTGCAAAAAAACATATCACCTTATTCTGTTTCAAGCCTGAGTAAAGCATTGGAATGCTTTGCTCACAATACAAAGTCATAAGAATTCTGTAGGGACAGCAAAATGCAGAGGCTTTAATATAATTAAAAAGCATATCTTTGTTACTGCTGTTTCCTTCAAAGATAATATTCCTTTTCACAGACAGAGCATGTGGGTAGGGGGTGGTAAAATCAGTCATATAGGGCCATCCCAGTATTTCAGATACTAAAGATATGGAATATTTTTGGATTCAGTCTTTCCTGATTAAATTCTGGTCTGGAGAATTGCCATGTTTAGAATAAACAAGCAGCATACATGTGCTTAATGAAAGCTTCTTAAATATGAGTCATACAATACCAAATAGTAAATTAGACTCCACATTGGTTCTTTAATTCTCCATTTGTAGATGTAAAATGATAGAAATCGAACTACCATTGTAAAAGGGATGACCATATTAACTGTCTTTTCTTCCCCCTCTTGCAGAATGTAGACAAGTGGTCCTTTGATGTATTTGCACTAAATGATGCAAGTGGGGATCATGCACTGAAATTCATTTTCTATGAACTTCTCACACGCTATGATCTGATCAACCGCTTCAAGGTCAGTAGTTAGAAGATGGGTCTCTTCTTCCATCTCAGATTTTGTTCAAATTCCCCCTCCTCCTGCTTGAAGAAGTTGAATGTTCAGAACTGCATCCTCCACTGATACATATGGAAATACAAGCGTTTAGGGTATTTGCTGTTTGGGGAGATGAAGCTGGAGAACCCATGCTGTCAACTGACACTACCTGTGTATCCCCTCTAGAAATGCCCTGAATTGCATTTTCTCAAGTATGCACAGTTCTGCTCTTGGGGTCAGAAAAGTATGGCAAGCACGTGGGATGGTTGTTCTTAGGTCTCTTCTCAGGTCTCTTCTCCCGAGTAACAAGTGGTAGGACAAGAGGAAATGGCCACAAGCTGTGCATGGGGAGGTTTAGACTGGAGATTAGGAACAATATCTTCCTGAAAGGGTGCTCAGGCATTGGAACAGGCTGCCCAGGGCAGTGGTGGAATCGCCATCCCTAAAGTGTTGAAAACCATGTAGGTGAGGCCCTTAGTGACATGGCTTAATGGTGGACTTGGAGATGCTGGGGGAATGGTTGGATTGATGATCGTAAAGGTCTTTTCCAACCTTGTTGATTCTGTAATTCTGTGATTTTGCCATGAAAAGCCAGAGGTCTGATAAACGTATCGTACTCTTAGTAGAGTATCTCAGACTTGCTATACGATGTGCTCCATCAGGAAATCTTGAATATGCATAGTAAAGCAGAGATGTATTCCAGTGGGTTGTGGGGAGAACAGACAGATGCTTGCGGCCTAATTAGAAATATTTCTCCAGGGGCAATCAATCAATCAAGTGCTCTCTGTTACTTTTTATACTCTATGTGTCTTCCAGACAGCATTTTGTAGTGTACTTACTTGTCTGTGTTTATATGTGGGAATGAGTCATCCATAATGTAACTAAGGATAGGAAAGCCAGTTTGAGGAAGTAACCTGGATTCACCCTCTCTTAAGTGCCTGTTTCAGATATTTTAGCATGTTTATTTGTGAAGTACAAACTGCCTTTGGGACCTGTTATCGAAATGCTGCCCTCTGAATGCTGGCCATTAAAGGTGATTCTTTTGGTTTTAATCCATTTGTTTTTAATTGCTTTACTCAGATCCCCATTTCTGCCCTGGTGTCCTTTGTGGAAGCTCTGGAGGTTGGCTACAGCAAACATAAAAATCCTTACCACAACCTGATGCATGCTGCAGATGTGACGCAGACAGTCCATTACCTCCTTTTCAAGACAGGCGTAGCAGTAAGTACAGGACTTGGCATCCTGAATATATAATGAGATTACAACAGTTTTTACTCAGTAAGCAGATTATGATTATCCCCAGTAGAAACCATTTGCACTGTAGACAAACTTCATTTGATATGCCTGTACTAATGAAAGTAGAGATTTAGGCTTATTTAGAACTAGAAGGAAGGTGAAGATGTTGGTAATTCTTTTAACAGTGATCTAAAAGAGGATGAATGATAAACCCAAGCTGAGGTTTTCACTCTGCTGCAGATCTCCTGGGTGATGCTGCTTTGCAGCATGTGGACTGCATCACTCTAATGTGTTTTGTAGACTTTGAAGACAGTCGGAGAAGCCATGTGCTTAAGATGGTCAGAGCAAAAAGAAACAGTTGTGCGTATCCCAGGCTCCAATCGGACTGAGAAGCAAACACAAGAAATGGATAAATAGCTGTCTTCCATTCTCTCTGTAATGTGTTTCAACCTTATCTCAAGCTGGCAGCAAATGCACAACCCTATCTTCCCCAGTGTATGTCTTAAAAGATTTTCTCTCATGCATTACCTATCTCCAGTAAATATCTGCATCCACTCACCTCTCCAAGTCACCTGCTGTTGTGATGCCTGAAGTGACAAATAAGAACTCCTCAGCATTAAAATGCTTTCTTGTTTAATGTATCCGAAGTATTTTTCCTCTCTGTTTCAGAGGAAACCATGTTCTGAAATACGTGCAGGGGTCAGAGGATGTGCATATGCTAAATTGACATCTGTAGAGGGGAAACTACAATTTATGCGTGTGAGCATATGTACATGTGGCGCTGAAGCCAGTGAGTAATTTGCTTGAGCTGACCCCTTCCCTTTAGTATTCCTACTGTAATAAGCTACTCACAAGGTATCCCATGAAGACTGTTATGCTGGAGTGGCACTCCAGAGGATATAGCAAAGTGTCTGCTCTTTCCCAAGAATAATCCCAAGCACTGATTGTTCCCACAGCCAACGGTATGTGGCATTTGTTTAGGATCTAATGTAGCACAATAAGAAACTACTCTTCTGCTATCAGGAAGAAGGGACTCCCCATCCTGCACTCCAACAGTGACATTTCAGCTTTGCTTCCCTTGTTAGAACTCTTTCTTAATCTGTGTTTTTGATCCTTTTTTCTCCCTTAGTTTCCACCCCACCTCCCCTGCAGGATACAATCCATTTCAATGTGCACAGATTCATGTAGTCTGAAAATGAGCTCCAGAGGTCAGTGGTCCTGACCTCCTGCTCATAGCAGGGCCACCTTCTAACATGCATAGTATGTTCCCTCGTAGTAAAGAAAGGTAGGGGACATTCTCCTGTTCTCCAGAATTTGCTCACATCAGTATTGTATCCTTGCTCTAACATATGTAGTTGTTCAGTTCATCACTTTCACAATATTTATGCAAGGAACTTGGACATGCTGGAACGAAGACTTTGATTTCAGAGGGAGCGCTGGGGCCATTGGTTTCATTCTTCAATGGGATGAAGACAGAGACGTGAAAAAATCATACAATAAAGTAGAAAACACCCCCTCATTTATCTTGTTAACAAGTCATTTGCAATGTGGAAAAAGCACTTTTACTTTCCAGATTTAAATAGTCTGTGTAGTGGTAATTTATTCTAGTCTTAAAGGGAAGAAAGAATTGTCTGGTTTATCTTTACATGCTTCATTTGCCTTTGTCATGCTCCCTGTTATTTACAAGCTCTCTCAACAGTTTTATTCCAGGCTTCTTCTTTCTTCTATTTTCTGTTCAGATAAAAAAAATCTTCTTTCCCTCTAATCATATTCAGTGCCTGAAATCTCTTTAGTTTTCCTGGGTTTTTTTCTTCCTCAGGATGATGCCTTGGAATGAATTCATTATACTTTACCATATGAACTAGAATATTTTGGGTTCTCTCATAGACATAATGTTGAAAGGGAAATTGGAATTACTCTGATATTTATCTGTGAGAGGATTGGTATACAAGCATGATGTGCAGGAGCAACTTCTAAGAGCTGACACATTTTTCTCATTTAATTCTTTTCTTTATTTAACTTTGTTGTTCAGCTGTGATTGTTACTTTCTTTGGTATTATTTTCTGATTAATCTTGGTAATTATTAGGAATTGCCATATGATTTCTTTGTGAATCCAGAAAATGAGGTGCAAATGGTAAACTTAAGTGTTTTTCCCTGATATTGTCAAGAATTACAGGAGACTATTTCCCACAGCAGACCTGTAAAACTGCAGAAGCATAGGACTTCTGCAACATCTGTTTGTGCCAAAGGGAAGTGAGATCCTCCTCTCCTCCAGACTATTGTGATTAATAAGCTTATGATCATCATGAGCTCTGAAAATGATGACTACTTTGGAATAAAAGACCATAAAATCTGGGGAAGAAAACAAGCTAATTATTGCTGTCGTTGTAACATTTTGTTGGAAATGCATCTATTTGTTTTGTTAGCAGTGGAAACACTGCTCTTTCCTCTTCCTTTTTCTTTCTCTGTGCATTGATCCTTCTGTTTACATGCCAATGATTTGCCTTAGTAGCTAATTCTTCATATTTAGTGTACATTGGTGATAGACAATTATGCCTCATGACCTGTTTTTTATTTCCACTCTGGAAGCCATTACTGGTTCTTTCCTGCCTTCTTTGCCGCCAGCCCACACCCCCCTACCATGGCAGAAAGTTTGCAGGTTTTGTTCTGGATTGGTTTTGTCAACCCTTTAGAAATGAAAAACATTCACATTTCCATTCTCTTTTCACCTGCGACAGTGTCCTGCTGCTTTCTCAATAGTTCTTGATGGCTTTGTTCTTTAAAAGTAGCTCTCTGTTCCCAAGATGAAGTCCATCACAGACTAGTGAAAGGTAATATCACTGCTTTGATGGAGATTGCATCCATTCTCTGCAGGCTTTTTGCCATCTTGTTTACTTCTCCTTGCAAGGCTGTAGCAGAAAAAAAAGGAACTAAAAGGTTCCAATTACTTACCTGCTATTTCCCTCCTGTTACTCACAAGCCTATTTTGATTTTGTGCTACTTACAGTGATTTATTTGTTACCCGCAGTTCACAACTGTAATAATCCCAGACTGTTTTCTGAGTGGTCTTTCTCAAATGCTCTTATGACATTTAATACCTCTCCTCAGGTGTATGACACCCTATTTGAAAATCTCCATTACCCAAACTTGTTCAACAAGTGATGCTTTGATAGGACATGTCAGTTTGTACTTTTTCTGTATGTGTCTTAAGAGGTGAGGGTAGGAGACCTCAAGCACAGAGCTTATTGCCTTAGTGATGTTTTAAGACTTGGGTGATAAGATCATGTTGGAGTGGGACTTGTCAGATGATGCCCAGAGGTCTGAAGTGGGTACATTAGACTAGCTGGGTGAGTTCTGTAGTAGTTCTCTGTGCATAATGTAGGTTTGCTCTGCCTGTTCTGAGCACTTTTACCTGATTTTTTCTATCATTTGCACTCCTTCTTTTTGGAAAATGGCAGAACATGGTTGAGTAATGGAAGTCCAGGTCTAGTCATGTAGCCTGGAAACCCTGGTTCCTTTTTTATCCCCCTTTACAGTCAACAGAAGTTGGTGCTTGAAAGTTGAAATCACGGTCTTCATCAGCTGGAGAACATTCCTTGTTCACAGGTCACACCTGGAAACAGAAACATCCCAGATTTCTCCACCACTAGTGCTGTCCATGCCAGTCCTGGACCAATTGTGTAGAGATGAGAAAATAGTTTGGTTTCTGTTGTCTGCTCATTTCTTGATCACTTCATCCTCATCAATAAATCAAGAGTTGCCTTGATTATGGTCAGTGGCATTGTACAAAGTATTTCTGGCCCAGTATTTTCAAACTGCATCTTTGATATAAGGAGATCTTTAATACTGAGACTGGCTTCATTCTTCATGGGTTATGCAGAGATGTCTGTCAAAGACAGAAGAGCTGGCCAGGTTGCTGTGTGCAAAGCCCCACAGTTATTTGTGCTTCCCCTGCACATGTTAACAGACCAGTGGTGGTCTCTGACCTGTAGTAAATGTTTAGAATAGCTTTATGAAACCATACTGCTTTTGCTGGGTTTTAAAAGTCAGTTCATACATGAACGTCTGTCAAAACGTTTGCAGGTTGACAGTGAGCTGTTACAAAAATATTTGGCAACTGTGGTAAAGGTTTTCTGCAAATGTAATACATTCCAGCATTTCATACAAATATTTACAGCATCTACAGTATCTAAAGCCTTTGCCTCTGATGCGCTTGATGTTAACAGCATTCCTTAGGTGCTACCAGTGGAAAACCAGACATAAAATGATTGATGAGTCATTTAGAAATCCAAGTCAGAGTGACTTAAGCATTGAAAAATAAGGCTTTGATTAGAAAATAAGTGGGGAAAAGAAATCAACTCAGGGCTTCCTCAAATGTTTCTGTAAGTGATAAATAACGAGAAGTACATATTGTGTGGTTGTGCTCCCTGTTCCCATGATTCAGTGATTGACGAAGACTTTCAGTCACTGGAAATCAGTGACATTCTTCTGTATTTGAGGCTCTGCTACCCAGGTCAACTGAGCTGAAAATACATACCCTGTTGGTTATGTACATACCTACACACGTATCATCAAATTCCACTTGAAGAACACTGATTTTCTTGAGCCTTCGCTTTCCTCACACATTGCTCTTTGAGAAAGGCAAATGTTTCCCTTTGCCCTGCCTTAAGCCCTATTAGCTCCTGAAGTTCAATTTATTTAGATGAAGCTTCAGGAAAAACATTGCTTCAGCTTTTGTGTATCAGCCAGAGAAGTTTGCTTTAAACCAGCTGGCAGGCTGCAGGGAAAGGCAGTGACGTGCAGCATTGCCTGTCAGCAGGGGATAACTTGCCTTAAAAGACAAAAGCCTTAATGCCTGGGAAAATGACAGCTTATCTGATTGCTCTGTAATCTCTTTTCAGCACTGGCTGACAGAACTGGAGATCTTTGCTATGATCTTTGCAGCTGCCATCCATGACTATGAACACACAGGAACCACCAACAACTTTCACATCCAGACGCGGTGAGGCCACTGTAAATCATGATGAAGGGTTGGGAAATGGAGGGGGAAAACTTTGGAGGATGACAGCACAGCTGCCTAGAAAAGTGCAGGAGCTTTTGCTTTCAAGTGATATAGAAGGAAAGTTCATGTCCTTACATTGCATTTCATTTTCTCTTGCTCAACCATTTAAAATAGAATGCATGTATTCTAGCTTCCTGAGCATTGTTTTATATTAATAATCAGGAAAAAGGAAGGTCCTAAAATATTACTGTGTAAAGTTGCCAAAGACAAATTGCTGTGCAGAATTATGTACTTTGAGGAAGGTATTTGGAGGAGCTACTGTAATACAACACTTCTCCTTGTTGAATTTGAAGACTCAAACATTAACTGCATTAATCAAGAATTCACCAATATTAGTGAACACCAATACTACTCATATACTGTTTTTACTTGAGTGGAAAACCACACTTGCAGCAAGGGGATATGCTTACCATTGCCTGTTCAGGGTTATCAAATTGCTAGACAGTAATGAGCTGATCGCAGGCTAGACTGGACCAGTGCATTTTTAAACTTGGCATCTTCTTGGCTTTTGGATTGGTGGAAGAGAGTTGGAGGAGATGAATATGACAGCACAATTCAGAGGTGTGCAAAGATTGGGAAGTCTCTAGTTGCAGTGGTAATTGGACAGCTAATGTTTGTGTATTACTTTGACAATGGGAGTGTACTGGTAGCAATGATAAAATGTCTAGATGTCCTTGACTGACGCTGCACACTTGGGCATTTCTAAGATGCATTGCATCTCACCCTAAATTAGATGTCTGGAGTATGTTAGCTGAATCATGCTGTGTATCACAGATATATAAAGGTTGCTAGGATAAATAACGCATACGCTCAGGAAAGCTTGAGAATGTAGAAAGATGTTTCTGTCTCTGTTCTGGGCCAAGCCACACTCCACTTCTTACAGCTTCATGCATGCAAGAATTAGGGATCTGCTGTGTTTTCCAAATAATTACAGAAGAATTCAAGGAAGGACAGTTGTAATTTAATTTCTGTAACACTGAACATCAGAGGGTATAAAGTGACCTTAAAGCTCATCCAGTTCCAACCCCTGCCACGGGCAGGGACACCTTCCACTAGAGCAGGTTGCTCCAAGCCCCTGTGTCCAACCTGGCCTTGAACACTGCCAGGGATGGGGCAGCCACAGCTTCTCTGGGCACCCTGTGCCAGATGGCGCAGCCACAGAAGAACGGCCTCAGAGCTCATCTCAATCGCCCCTCTGGCAGGTTAAAGCCATTCCCCTTGTCCTGTCCCTACAGGCCCTTGTAAAAAGTCCCTCTCCAGATTTCTTGCAGGCCCCCTTTAAGTATTGGCAGACTTTTATAGGATGTCCCTGGAGTCTTCTCTTCTCTCAGCCTGGGTCCAGAGCAGAGCAGCTCCAGCCCTCGCAGCATCTCTGTGGCTTCCTCTGGAATCACTGAACAGCTCCACGTCTGTTCTTGTGTTGTTGCCCCAGAGCTGGACACAGGACTTGCAGGGGGGGTCTCACTAGAGCAGAGAAGGGAGCAGAGCAGGGTTTCAGACCAGTTTAGCCATTCATCAATTTCAGATTTATGCCCTGGTGCTTAAAACAAGGCCTGAAGTGTCTTTGGTCTTACTCTGTCCCACTGGGAACTGTCTTCCATACAGCATAGTCTAGTGCACAGATGACAAAAAGCATTTTAGTTGTATCTTGCTTACAACCAGTTTGCTGTTCGGGAAATAATATTGGGACACATCTTTCAATTGCTTACTTGGGTGCAGTCAGGCTTTACTATGAGAGCAACATACACAGGAGCTGGAAAAGAGCCTCATGATTCAAGTCTAGATTTATGTCTCTCTCCCAGCTCTCAACATTTATAATTTTTAAAGCATGTAGCAAAGAGCCCAGGTGAGTCTCAGCTGATGAAATAGATTCTGAGTGAATTTTGATCTTTAGCTATCTTCTACTGAATAACAGCAGTGAACAAAGTGTTAAAAATGCTCTTAAAATGCTCGTATCTGTGCTATAGAACTAATCTCTGCAGCTGATCAGTGGAAAATTTATGAATGTAAGACTCATTAGATAGGGAAGAAACGAACTTTCCTATGTTTTCTTTTAAATACTAGGTCAGACTCAGCCATTCTATATAATGACCGGTCCGTGCTTGAGAATCACCACGTTAGTGCAGCGTATCGGCTTTTGCAAGATGATGAAGAGATGAATATTTTATCTAACCTCTCAAAGGATGACTGGAGGTAAAAATGAACATTGCAGCATCACCACAGGCTGTTATTACCTTGTTTGAATGGCAGTATGCATTACTGTATATCATATATTAATATTTCTATTACTACAAGAAAAGAGCTGTAAAAGGTGTTTGTCTTGCTTATTTCTACTTTTAGCTTTCACCTCTGGTAGTGAGACTAAACTTTGTGACAATGGATTATAATATACCAACTAAGTGCCATCTAATTTCTGAGTGTCACAGAGACACCCTTTGCACACATTCATTTGTAATTTAGTGTAGGGCTGGGGCACTGTTTGTTCATCTTAAAGCATAAACTTCTATGCATTTACTTTGACACTCCCTGCCTAGAAATTATAAATGGGACTTCATGCAAAAAAGAATCTAGCCCAAGGAGCACAAATCAGTGTGCTATATATGCCAAGGTGATGTAAGAAGCTGTAGTTTAAAATAAGCCTCAATGCAACATATGATTTATGTGCCAAAATCAGCCCATCATTTGCTTTCTAATAGCAGACAGTTCAAACTCATGAGGGCTTTCTGGGTTTTTTAATGGGGTTTTTGGAACTCCAGGGGGTGGTACTTTAAAAATAGCCCAGTGTGCTAGACAGGAAGAATCCTGCTCCATGGTCTTTCTCATGGAAGGGGGAGCAACTTGTGGGATCTTATGTGATGCACAGTGCCTCCTGCATACATTTAAATGCGATACAATGCTGAGCAGTCAGTTCATCTTAATTTAATATAAATGTGGGGAAGTGAGCCCTTCTCTGAGGCCTGGCTTATAGCAAGCTGGTCAGAGAAGGCTCTGCTTGCTGATCTGTGTAACCTGAATTTCCTATTTCTTTCAACTTGTGGACAGTGCTGTGATCATATAGCTGAACACCAGGAATAAAACTCAGGAACTTACATGCCTGATTTCAATCAGTGTGAGTGTTGTGGAGGAGTGGCCTGAGAAATTCTATCCCCCAATATAGAAAACAGTCTCATGGTGGGCAGCAAGCAGGAACTTGGAAGAAAAAAAGTCTGCACAGAGGTGTTAAAAATCTAATTTATTTTTTTAGCTACAGCTGGTAATGCCTTGTCAAATACTGGCAGTGAATTACTGCTTCTTTTTATGTTGGTGGGTGAAACAGAAGGAACCAACTGAGTAGAAACAGCAGCCTTAGAGCCAGCGTCTACAAGGAACAAGGGAGCAGCTCGTTGTGTATGCTTCATTGCACAGACACCATCTGCAGGAAGATGGTCTGCTTGCCAGCTTTAAACTGGTTTTGCTTGAATCACGGCTAGCTTTGGGTATTTCTCATCGATTCTGTGGTGTCAACATGTGTGTTCTGTTAAGGCAATATGCTTAGACCCAAAGTGTCAAAGATTAACCCATCTCTTTAAGAAATACTGTAACTGCCCAAGCAGAGATACTGAGACGTTTGGATTTGTTCTCTCTCAAATAGGGCTTTATTATTTTGTAGCTGCTGATCAAGCAGCAGCTGCACAATAAAGGCCGTTATCTGGATGTGCTTTCATTCCAAAACAGTGATATTTGTGTGCTTTTGCTTTGGACTGCCAGTTTGAAGTCCCGTAGCACTGGAAGCACTGGAAACATTGGCTGACTTCTGCGCGATCTGAGGTGTTGAAATTAAAACCAAGAAGCCCAAAGTTGCCCAGGCTGGCACTCAAAAAAAATAGGACCCTCAGTATTGGAGGATGCTTTGGGAAACTATGAAAGCATGTCCAAATATAACTTTAAAGTTTTTTAGACATACCTGATAAATGTCTCTCAGCAAAAGGCCTTAGTGATGGGTTTTGGAAAGCAAATTCTTAAGTGCCCTTCTGAGCACTCTCACTCCTTTTCTCACATTACTAAGAAGAGAAAATCTGATGGTCAGTGGATTTTGCAATCCTGTATGTCTGTGTGGGTTTTATCACTTTTGTGGTATTCAGTTATCTAGTTAGGGAATGTGTTCTCAGGAAAGAAATCTAGAATGTTAGAGCTACGTTTTACTATTGAAAAATAAATGGGCACAGGTTTTATAAGGAAAGCAGATGAGAGAGAAAAATCTTTTGGGCTACAGCAAAGAAGAGAAGAGTTAAATGCTTGCTGGTACTTAAACTACTTTTTTTTCTCCATTTAAGGAACCCTCTGTTGCTTATTAAATATTTGCAAATCGGTTGAGTTGCCTCGTTTCATGAATCCCACTTGTGCAAGTCATCAATGAGTAAATGAAGAAACCCTAACAGAAACAGATCACAGTGAATTAAGAAAATAAACTGTAAAGTGAACAGATGCTTTCCAAGACACTGCTATAGATGCCTTTTCTGGCACTGTATGTAATTGTTAGTAATTGCCATGCATTTATTGAGACAGAGTATGTTTAGCATAAGCCCTTTATCATCAAACACAGGGTTTAAAAGACATCTGGAAAATGTTTATCTCCTCAGCCCTGTATTGGAGTACAGCTTTAGGAAGTGACCTTTAATGCAATACTGATTTTGTCAGTAAAACTACTTGGGGTTTTGTCCCCCAAATAATTCAAGCCCTCCTTGTCTATCAGTGTTGTTCCTTTTGGGTCTGTGGTGAGAAATCCTGCATGTTTTTTAACTGAAGACATCTTTGGTCAGAGATGTCTTTTGTACATTACAGCGTGTGTGTGGTTGTGTAATCACACCCTTTGCTTACAAAAGTTTGTTTCTGTGCATGCAGGATGGGCACATTCATATTCCAAATGTTATACTTATGGTGAGAATCAGTCACTGAAAATGCTTCCTTGACTGTAGCATTTTTCCTATTCGTTTCTGTAAGAATAAAGTCCTGAGACTTGAAGTGGACAAGATGAGCAAAACAGCTCACTTCAGGAGAGGTTACTGTTGGTTCCTAGCACAGGGATTAAGTGATCTAAAATGGCCTTTTTCCTGTCCCTTTCCCATGAGTGCATGGAGATGAAGTCCTTCACTAGGATACAGCTCTAAGGTGGATGCTGATAAAGAGCAAAGATCCATCCAACCAAATAACCAACAAAATGATGTAAGGTGCTCTGAGGCAAGAGAGGTAAAACCATGAAGTAATTGTTCTGAAGAGGAAATTAAGGTATTTGCCAGATGGATCAGTGCAAGGCTTGGAAGTATTCAGATGTAAAGTCAGCCTGGGTCTCTCTTGTAGTAAAGATACTGTAGAACTGTTCTTGGTCATGGGACCGTGCCAGATAACGCGTTTACTCATGAATCATCTGCAGGCCACCAGTTAGAAAACAAAAAATCAAAGCCGTGACAGTGGCCACAGGATGAATTAATACTCAACGTGTGACAGTAATAAACCAGGAAATTCACTTCAGGTTTTCCTCTTCTCCAATTGCTTTTCCTGAGCCTGTTCCCTGACAACCTGCTCTCTCTACCTCATTGTTCCTTTCCCTAATTCTGCAGGGGTATTAAAAGGCATGGGCGAGTTATTTTAGAATTTACTATCAAATTTGGTAACTTGTATCTTTGTCTCAGTGGGAGGCTCTAGGTGAGACGATTTGATTTCTCCTGGGCTCCTGGCCTTAGGGAAATGTATATTCTACCAAGAGAGAAAACATCTGGAAGTGTAATGAGAAATATTAAAATCCTTAATTAGTTAGTCAAGCAGCACAGCCAGGTCTATAAAAAAGACTATGAGTGTACAAGGGATCTTCAGTTGAGGGGACCTGTGGGAAAACTCGCTCCAAAGCCCTAGCAGAACATAATATTCTCAAGATTGACTACTTTGATGTTACTGTATTTTTGTTGCCACAAACAGTGATCTAAAAGAGGATGAATGATAAATCCAAGCTCAGTTTTTCACTCTGCCACAGATCTCCTGGTTGATTCTTCCAACACACTTTGGTTGAAATTCATTTCACCCAATGTGAAGAAGCAAACTATGCTTTCTTCTTCCTTAAGGGAGCAAGGCAGTACCTCTAGAGGAGAATTCGTTCCGCTCATCTGAGGATGACCAGAGCCATGCTCTGGAGATGCTGATCTCCATCCAGTCTCTACAGCAAAACCAGCTCACATGGAAACCAACAGGCAGCTAAAGTCTAACAGGAACGGGTAGAAGGCTTAAACCAATATACTTAGCATGCAATTTGTTCCCACAGTGGCTATTGAGACAAACAACAGAAATACATTTGAAGATGGAGTAGGGAAACTGAAAGAAGATTCTAGAGTGGGTATTAAACATTACATATTAAACCAGGGAGGTCCTCGGGGCCTGGAGGTGTGGTTTTCAGTCATAGGACAGAGAGGTGCAAGCTAACAAGGCATAGTGTAGCTCCTGCTATGTCTTTTAGGCCAGTTTCAACAGCTGTAGAGCTGCTTACACTCAGGAACAACCTGTTGTGCACGTGGTCTGCCTTTCTGCAGTCCCTTGATAGCCGCAGTGATGTTACTTTCAGTTCTGAGACCAAGCTGGCTGCTCCTGAGTCTCCTGTGTTGAATGCAGACTGCTCCTGTGAATTGCAATGTTTTCTTCAGACATATTTGGAAGGAGTCAGTCCCAGTCTGTCTCAAGGCCTGATCCAGGCTGCCCAGTTCTGATTGAAGTTGGGTCAGTTGTTCTGTGTCTGAAGCAGACAGGAATTAGGTCAGGTTTGCAACTAGTGCAGATCCATACTCAAACCTCCCATGAGATCCTGAATTGGTCACTGCTGCTTTTAGGGCTGTTAGTTAATTAAAATGCGCTGAAGGCTGTAGTCTGTAAGAGTAATACAGTGTTGAGCAATGCAAATTACAATGTAATGGTGAGCAAATAGGTGCCCTTTTTCTCCTCAAACCATTAAAGGGCAGTTTTCACATGCTGCTACTCTGCTCCAAAAAGGTGACTTGAAGGAAAGAGCTGCTCAAGCACAGCAGCCTCCTGCTTCTGCATGTTCAGAACTGCCTTTTTGCACCTTGCTGCTTCTTGGTCTGTTGGTAATTGAGCTTCAGCTCACCTGTGAATGAATGAGTGCTGTTCTATTCTAGCCCATATTGCCCCAGTGCAAGGGCCATAGAATAAAGTTTCATGGACTTGAAAAGACATGACTAAGTGATGGAGTAGTTTGGACTTTTTTGCTCTAAGCGGGAGAGAGATCATCTAGCAGATAAAATGGAAAATGAAACAACACACTTAAATCAGACCAAACAGCCCCCATGGTTTTACTTATGTACAGAGCAAACTTGATATGAAGTCCTTGAGGTGCACCAAAGCTTCATGCGGTCCCTGGTTTGCTGCCAGCCCTGGGCTTCAGTAACCTGTGCTGGGTACCTGCCAGTGTGTTCCGTGGCTCCACGTGGGAGCAAACCAAATAGTGCTGTCAATGAGAAAGCAAGGGGTAAAAAGATAGTTGACACCATGGCCCATTCCCTACTGGCTCTGGCACTGAAGCCAGTGAGTCATTCGCCTGAGCTGAGCCCTTCCCTTTAGTATTCCTACTGTAATAAGCTACTCACAAAGTATCCCATGCAGACTTATGAAGGAATGGCGCTCCAGAGGATACAGCAAAGTGTCTGCTTTTTCCCAGGAATAATCCCAAGTGTTAATTGTTCCCACAGTCAAATTATACATGGCATTTGGTTTAGGATCTAATGTGGCACAGTTGTTCCCACAGCATAATCAGACCCTTTTCTTGTAAAAGTTTGTTCCTATGCATTCAGGTTCTCCTCTCCTGCCTCTCTTGCTTGTATTGACAGAGAAGTTTGTGCTGCTGGGAATGAACCAGACGAGGGAACTGACCAGGAATGGCAAAAGAAAAGCACAAATTACTTTAAGATGGATTGTTTTCAGCCAGCACATCATCATCTTGAATGCTGCTGGCTATGCAACTGGTTGTATATAAGTGTGGGGAGAAGGAGGTGGCTATACTGGGGGAAAAGCAAGGCCAGGTGATGCCACCTTATCATGTCTGCAGAACTCCTGGTGGGGAGGGAACACTCTTTATGTGACAGTCTCTACATGGTGGTGGTCTGGCGCTGAAACTTGAGCACAGCCACCAGAGGCAAGACAGACATGATTAAAATAGACCACGTCCTTCATGAAACATTCATGAAAAGAAGAATGCTAACTTCTATTTTTAGATGGAAGGTGACCCATTTCTGAACCTCCCGTATCCTGACCTGGGACGCTAAGCTTAGGGTGTTCTTCCTCTGTTAACCTGTGGATAGCTGAACTGAGAGAAAGAGGAAATTAATTTGTATTGAGTACTAGGTCAGAATGTCCTAGTTTTAGTTTGTTTAACAAGATATGTTTTAGTTTGGTTAACAAAAATTCATACATGAATAGTTTGAATGTGTAATATCAGGGGAATAATGCAGGTTCTCAAAGGTCTTGACTGCATATAAGCATCATGTGTACTAGGAGCTTTTATTTAAGATGCTGTTTTTCCTTCAATAATACGAGTAAACTTTGAACTAGATACCAACCACTTTTAGTCAAGTGGATAGAGATTCAGGTTCAAAAGCGCACCTGATTCATGCTGAGGCTTTAAATAGTTTCTGTGCTGGCTTCTAAGAACGCCCTATAAAAGAAATCAATTTAAGGGGTTTGTGCTTAATTAATAAAGGAGTACTAATGCTAACATCCTCTTCAAAAACATCTAGGATTTTTCTTAGCAAGGATTAGTCATCTGGCTTAATTTGCAGCCCTCTGACTCCCTTGTTTGTGTATAAAAACATCATCCTCTTCCTCACCCCTGAAGGGTTAATGGCAAGTGTAACATACAAGGCAGAAGTACAGTCAATAATTTACAGATAGACAACAAAAGGAACTGGAGTGTGTCTGATGTTTTTGTGTTTCTCTTTCCTTGCTCCTCTCATTGTGATGCCATCCAAAAGGGAATTCAGAGCTCTAGTGATCGAGATGGTGTTGGCCACCGATATGTCCTGTCACTTCCAGCAAATCAAAGCCATGAAGAATGCTTTGCAGCAGCCAGAAGGGTGAGTCACTTCACAACACTGTGCAGTGAGGGGCTGCATTTCAGCTGCTGCTTTGCCATTGTGTTTGACTTCAAAAGCACCTCCCCAGAGGCCCTCACTCTCTTTGATGTCTGCATCAGTTCTCTTCCCGCTGTTGAATTTTGAGTGAATTCGCTTAGAGTGGACTGGCACCCCCCATACACACATCTCTGCTCTGTGCTGGTGGACCAAAGCTTGCAAAGGTCACCACGTTGGGATAAGCCTCCCTGTGCATTTTCCTTTGTCCGTCAGGGTGACATCAAGGACATGATCCAGCTGAGTGACCTCGACAGCTTGAGTGTGACTCAAAGTTATAAGATGTGCAGAACACAACTTATGCATTGCCCTTCTGCAGATGGCATCAGCTGCCACCTCTGCAAGGGGCCTGCTCCATAACCAGAGGAGAGATGAAAACAACTTGAGGTTCACTGAGGGAAGAACTGGAAAATAACAGATGGAGCAGGATGAGGAAGGCCTATTCTTCTTCCCACTATGCCACTGAGAGCTGTAATATTTTCTCCACAGCTCTTCCCCGTAAAATGCATTTTATACTGCAGAAAGCTCTGTGCAATGGTCATTTTTTCACCCTGGACACAGGGCTGTCCAGAGCCTTCCAGAATTATACCTGTATCAGACTAGACTGTGGCCACTTGGTCCTCTCAAAAGCTACAACTTTTCCAGCTGTTTCACACAGTTAGAAGCTGGAATAAAAAAAGCAAGACTACCCCTCCCAAGAAAGCATCACTTACTGGGATCCTGGGCTAGCCCCTTAGGTTATGGCTTTAAGAAACTGGCAGCTTTTTTTGTTCTCTGGAAGCAGATGCAAGGATCCCCTTCTGACCTCACATCAGTTTTCTAGCAGTGAAATGTTTGTTTATCAGTTACTGTGTAGAGTCATGAGAGCCCCTGAGATCAGATCCTGTTTACTACAGTGAAGCGGTAGGGACCAACTTCTCTTCTGAGCTGCATAAAATGCAGCCCAGCTGAAATGGGGAGCACAGCAGCTCTTCAACCCTGCTTGTGCAGACAAGCAAGCCTGGAAAGGAGCTCAGCCAAGCTGAGCAAGGTTTTTTTTTGCACTTCTTAATGTCTTTTTTACAACAGGAGTTGTGTATGTTGGAGAAGTGGGACAATCTTTCATAGCTGTCTGGTTTTATGAACTCAGAAATCATTCCATTAATATCCTGGCCAAAGATTCTAATGACCTCATTTCCCTGCTTAGGTGAGATTTTCGTCATTCTCCACTGCAAGAGCAGACAATTAATTTGTTTGATCCTTTGGGTTTTCAGAATTGACAAGCCGAAAGCCTTATCACTGTTGTTGCATACAGCAGATATCAGTCATCCAGCCAAGGCCTGGGATCTCCATCATCGCTGGACCATGTCTCTGCTAGAGGAGTTCTTCAGACAGGTAAAGCTAGGAAAGTCCCTCTGTATTTCTGCAGCCTGCACAAGGAATGTGTAGGGCTGGGCAGGGAAGTAGGAAAATGTGAGCACAGACCTTTTCCTTTTTCTTTGGTTTATGCAAGAACCTCCTAAATGATATGAAACTTTCTTTTCTGGCACTAGTAGCATTGGCTATCATGCCTCTTGGGAAGTTTGTGTCTCATATGTTGTCTATAGATAAAGATGTTATCTACATGGTAGAAATTCTAATTTGGAAAGCTAATGTGTTTCAAATCAGCAAAATATAGACTATGTGACACTCTACTTAGCTGTAGAACCTAAGAAAACAGATTTAGGTATCTGTACTTAATACAACTGTATTTACGTTGTTGGGGTAGATGTAAAAACTCCATTACCCTTACTTTAGGTGGAGTAAACTGATCTAGTTTATAGCTCACGGTGGACTGACTCACAGATCTAGACAAACTTGTTGACAGGCCCACAAATCTAGACAACCATTAAGCTCTGTGTGAGAGCTATAAGCTCCCCAACTGAGTAATTAAAAGCATTTAAAGAGCTGCCTTATTAAAAAGAAAAAAAAGAAGTTAAAAGTAAACAAAGCACTTAGTGTTTAGGATACTTTTCAGCACTATGAATTACTAAACTAAGCAGAAAACCAAGTGCTTAATTTCCCTCCAGAGTTCAATAACTTCATCTGAATGCAAAATAAGAAAAATAGGACAATTTTAAAATAAAGTTCTAACTTTTATTTTATTTCATTTTATTTTTAATGGGACTGTGGGAATCCCTTCTTAATAAGGACATTTGAAGCATTTGCTTTGAAATAAATCCTTTCTTTTGTTTTTCAAACCAGGAATGGGTTTACTAGCTGGAAGTGGGTAGATCATACCTGCAGTTGTCTCTGTTGCCACACAAGAGCCTTAGGCAAATAGGCTGATTTTTGCATATATTTTAGGGAAAACTGTGCATGTTTATGTTTTTCTAGTTCAAAATTATGCTAGATGTGTTAGAATGCACCACAGCTGTATCTCCTAAAGATTGGGGAGGGATTAGCTAGATATGAGACCACAAAACCCCAAGTTTTATCTGGTTTGTACATGTATTGAAGGCAAAAATAAGTCTTCATAAGAAAATTTGATTTCAGTCAACAAATCCTACTTCAGTTTTGAATGACAAATGCCTCTACTGTGAGGTAAAGCATTTTATAAAACTTGTATTCTAGTTCCAAATTCAGATGCAGTATTAATTCCCTCCTTGGGAAAACCCTTAAGCGTACCATGAAACATAGACTTGTGTTCATTGCAGTTACTTAGTACTGGATCAATACATCCCTATCTAACAGCTGAAAACCAACACAGACTCTTCTCACAAGCTGAAAAGCTTCACTAGCCAGAGGCGACCATGGTGATAAGGAACTGGGCCAGCCTCAGATTAGGTATTTACTTCCTCATGCTCTTCACCTGCAGACCCTCTCCTGGCCTTTCTGTTATGTGCTCTACAGAGACATAAAGCCTGACTTAATCTGTATCAGTACAGATTCCCAGCCCTACTGATTTCCAAGTATCTTGTGATGTGACACAGGTCTTCCTACACCAAGTAACGGTACTGTAGGTGTGAGTGGTGCTTCTGAGTACAGTACAGTTACTTTTACATTCAGCAGCTATGGTGAATATCTCTTAAAACAAACATCTTGCATGAATTAATTTAGTTTACTAATGCACTTTAGCTAGCCATGAGGGAGCTGCCCAAACAGATTAGAAGCAGCCAAGTGACTCTCTGAGCAGTCATAAAGGCAGTTAGAGATTCCTTCCTAAAGAGAATTAGGCACTGGGGTTTTTAACAGGTGTAAGGAATAAAAGAAGAATGATGATTAGGAAAGAGCCGGTATTGAGAGATGGTTTTCCTCAGAGATGCAGCAGACACGGTAAAGGAACATTACTTGGAAATATTTCTGGATCGTTTCTGTTTTACCCTGGTATTTGTATACCAGACTCCTAACACAAAGCAGAATTGTTCTGCAATAGAAGAATACTATTACTTGTTGTTTCACCCAAAACTCTAACAGGACTTGGCCCCCATTTCCCGTGTGTCATATTAACAAAAGAAGAATAATTCAGCTCTTCTTATGCCTATGGAAGTTTTTCTCTGATTAGTTTGCTGGCTGTTTTAACTTCCATTTGACATTAGTAAGAAAACTGGCAAGAAGCTCAGTGCAGTTAATGTGAGCTGCTAATTTAAGGAATTGATTCTATAGTATATTAAACAAGCTATTTAAAATTGAATGCTCAGTGGGGAGTATTGCAACTGTGTCATCCTATATATCTTCTCAGCATAAAGCAGTATTTTATAGAGTGAATGAACCAAGTTAAAGACCTTTTTGAGGATATGCCACTTGAAAGGCTGGGAAAAAGTGGGATTATAACACTTGATCTCCTGGACCAGCTTGTGATATTAGCAAAGGACTTTCAGTTCTGAGGGCTGGAAAGTATGTTTGGACTTGTGTACTTAAAATGTACATAAACTGTTGACAATGTCAGGATCATAGAATCATAGAATGCCAGGTTGGAAGGGACCTCAGGGATCATCTGGTCCAACCTTTCTTGGCAACAGCATAGTCTAGACTAGATGTCCCAGCACCCTGTCCAGCTGAATATTAGAAGTGTTCCAGTGTTGGAGAATCCATCGCTTCCCTGGGGAGATTATTCCAGTCACTGATTGTTCTCATTGTGAAAAACTTCCCTCCCGCATCCAGTCGGAATCTTCCCAGGAGTAACTTGCACCCTTTACCCCTCGTCTTTTCCACGTGACTCCCTGTAAAAAAGGAGCCTCCATCTTCTTTGTAGCCACCCTTTGAATACTCGAACATGACGATAGGGTCTCTCCTGAGCCTTCTTTTCTCAAGGCCAAACAAACCCAGTTTTCTCAGCCTTTCCTCACGTGGCTTCCCAGTCATGGATCATCCTTATGGCCCTTCTCTGGACCCTCTCCAGCCTGTCCTCATCTTTTTGCATAGCAGGGACCAAAACTGAAGGCAGTATTCCAGGTGTGGCCTGACAAGCCCAAGCAACAGTGGAATAATGACTTTATCTCTGCTGGCCATGCCCTTGTTGATGTAACCCAGCATCCTGTTGGCTTTGCCAACAGCAGCACCCTGTTCACCCATATTCACAGGTCCCTTTCCACAGAGCTGCTGAGTATATCCTGGTCTGTGCTGCACTCTTGGATTGTGTTCACCCGGGTGTAAGACCTTACACTTGTCCTTGTTGAGCTTCGTAAGGTTCTTGTTAGCACACTCTTTGAGCCTATCCAGGTCTTCCCACAGGGCTGCTCTGCCTTCCAAAGTCTCCACTTCCCCACTCAATTTGGTGTCATTGGCAAAATTCATCAGGGCACACTTCATGCCGTCTTCCAGGTCATTTATGAAGATATTAAACAGTGTTGGGGCCAGTATTGATCCTGGGGACCCCACTTGTGGCAGGTTGCCAGTTTGAAAGGGAGCTATTTACCAGCAGTCAGACAGTTCCCCACCTGCTGCACAGACCACTTCTTAAGACCATAAGACATCAGTTTCTCTAGGAGGAAGCCATTGGGAAACCGTATTAAAAGCCTTGGAGAAATCCAGATAGACAATATCCACCCTTTAACCCACATCAACTGAGCAGGTTACTCTGTCATAGAGAAATGTCAGTGTTTCCTTTGGGAGAAAACAGTAATCTGCATCTGGCCAGCCATGACCTGTGAATTCTTACCTGAAAGGCTAGAAAAGGCATGGGAAGAAGTGTAAGCCCTGAAAAATCAGTCCTGAAGCTTAATTCATTAACTTTTCAAGCCAAAGTCAAATTCTTCACAATTTGTGTTAAACAAAAAGCAGAACAAAATCAAAGCAAAATTGAAAGTGAATAACATAAAGTGAAATGAGAGGCTTATGTTGTCATGCCCTAAGATATCAACATGCAGTGTATTGTCTTTGTCTAATTTCTTCTGCGTTTTGTTTCTCCAGGGTGACAAAGAGGCAGAACTAGGGCTTCCCTTCTCTCCGCTGTGTGATCGCAAGTCTACTATGGTTGCTCAGTCTCAAATAGGTATGTCCCTTTCGGTGCATGCCAAATAGCATCTTATAAGCAAAACTTACTCCTTCCTGTAGGACTAAGTTCGTGGGGATCTCTCATCATGTGAAATTTAAAGAGAGGAAATTAAGCACCGTGGCATTATTTTCCCCAGATCAACAATTCAAAGCTGAGGAGCCATTAAATTTATGGTGGTGGTTCCATGCAGTAAGCAAGTTACTCCTGATGTGTCCGCAGGGATGGTTACAGCGCCTGGTTATGACACTACTCCACGTGTTTCTGAGCTGTGAGATGAGGTGCACACAGCAACGTGTTGTGATTTGAATATCATTGCTGGATATGAAAATGTGATGTCAGTCCCTTGGATGACTTGTTCAAAACTTAGTGTGCCTTTTACCATTTATTCTTCCCAACTTTCCCTCCCTGTGCTTCAACCCAACCAGTATTTTGCACTGAAGCCAAGCAATGAGCAAACCTTTCCCAACTGCACCCATTCAGAAACACAAAAAGAGTCTTTTTTACACACTCACTTTCTCTACCTCTCCTCCAGTTACTGGGTGAAAAAGTAGGAGAAGGATGAGGCAACAGGGCTGCTATTTGGTGAGAAAGCAAGAGGGGCTAAGTGAGGTAGAACTGTTCAAGGGGGCAGGGAGCAAAACAAAACAAACCTACACGTTTTGAATCTGTGGATGGATTTTAATGCCTAGAGAGCAAGTGAAGTAGACAGAAGAATGTGGTCTAACCTCAACTGGAGAATAGGGAGCCAAGCAGGATAACAAAAGAGAGATAAAACAGACCTTAAAAATGAGGGAACTGAGACCAGAAGCAGAAAAAGAAAGAATATAATAAAGGAAAACAAACAAAAAACTCAAAGTATAAAATTTCTCACAAAGAACAAGACAAAGCTATCCCTGAACCTAGGGGAGTTCAGATTCATACCTGCGACTAAGGCCTGTTTCTGTGTAAATCATTTCATTGTTCCTGTTAGGCAAGCCATTCTCTGGGGGACCCCATCCCAGCTTTTTCTGGCTTTGGAATTTCAGACAGTTCAGCCAAGAATCTGAAGTTGAAAAGCCCTTTGCCTGGTTGCCAGACATGCAGCATTTCCTGCTCTGCAAAGGTAACCTAGAAGAGCGGGAATGCGCACAGAGCGCAGTGCAGCTGTGTTCTGCCAGCAGCTCGGCGGAGGGGAGCAGCAGCAAACTTGAAGTGATGCAGTCTCAGCTAAAATCCCTGCTGAGGTCTCCTGGGCACGCTGCAAGTGCTGCTGTGCTGTGGGAGAAGGTAAACTCTATTTCTGGCTGGTGTGGAGGGAAGCTCATGCAGAGACTTCTCTTTCACATCCCTTCTATTAGCTTTCAGTACATCTCTCTGTCCTTACAGGGAAGGGGAGTTGTGTATCTCTATGTAGGGGAAACTAGTTTTCCTCGTCCTTTTCTGTGCCTTTTTGTTCAGGAAGGCTAGAAAAGCCAAGAAACTTCTGCACTGATGCCCCAGTGTCCAGCCACTGCAAAATTAATGATGAATTAAACCATGACCATCACAATTCCACCTTCTAAAAGAGGCACATGTCAGCACGCAAAGGCAGCCTTACTTAGTCATATACTATTTGTCATTATATTTGATTTGTGCAGTTTAGTAATCTATTGACATTAAAAGGCTACCCTCTATAAATCCTGCCTTACAACATTATACAATTTTCATTTCTCAGTCTGATGCACATAGACAGTGTCTTTCTGTGATGTCTCCTTTGTTAAAGCAAAACCTGTTATGTTTTCTGGATATCTGCTGAGGTAAGGCTTTCAAAGCTGAAGGCTTGATTCTCAAGCAAATAATCTGTTCCCATTCATTTATTTACTTTATTAATAGCCTCAACAAATTGTTTCCTGGAATAGTAATCACTACATTTCTTTGCAAAACTAAGTTCTTACTGAACTCCAAATTGTGCTATTATCTGCAGCAAGCAGCCATCAGTTCCCACAAATAAGAACCCCTCTGTCCTTTGAGCTCTTGGTTTTGTCAGGGACAGAGCCCAGAGATCCTGTTCTGGTGGCTCGACTTGTTTGTAGCTGCTGGCTTGCTGCTCTAAGGCCACTGCAAGTGACAGTGGGCAAGCATGTTCATTACCAAAAGATCTTCACAAATGCAGACTGAAGGTTTTGCATGGAATTTTTCCACAGCCATGAAGCAATCAAACAGCAAAAACTTCCTCTAAAGAAAGAATATCTCTCTGCCCTGTTGCTTCACAGTCTGTGAAAAACTTGTTCAGAGTTTAAACTGATAATTAAAAACCTTGAATATCAAATAGTGAACCTGAGGATTCAAACCTAATAATGCTAATGACCAATTTATCATCCTTTTTCTTCTTCTTCAGTGGAATAAGTGTGGTAAATATTTCTATACCCCAGTGAAGTACAGAAATCATGAGACATTCATGTCCAGAAGTGGGACTGCTTATCAAAATGAGAGAGACAAACTGTAAAGAAAAGCAGGCTGAGACTTGCATTTCCCAACAAGAATATCAGGAGTTAAAGCTTCTCTGTCTGCCTCAGACAGTAGGAAGCTTGTTTGAGTGGAGATCAGCCTTTGTTGTCATTGTCTTTTGCAGTTAAATGTAGCAGCATCCGTTTATTTTTGTCCTTTGGCTGGCAAGAGAGAAAATTACAGCTTCAGAAAGCATTGCATAAAGGCTGATGAGTGCATGATGATGATTCTTCTTCTTTCTTTGGGTGATGGTCTTTAGGGATACTGTCCTCTAGCCCGTGTTTGCTGTGGTGGCGTTCTGAGGTGGAAGGAATGAACACTAGGCATGTGCCTGAAAACCACCTTCAGCATGCAGTGTTAAGTGGTAAAATCATCCTAGCCACTGGGGCACGGAAATATTTACCATGCTCATTTCACTGAAGAAGAAAAGGGATGATAAAATGGTCATTAGCATGAATAGGTTTTAAACCCCAGATTCATTATTTGATATTCAGGGGTTTTACTTAGCAAACTAAATCACCGTATTTAAATTACAGTGTCTTTAGGTAAGAAGAGAGAGAACACAGGCACAGGGGGAAGGCACTCGGGAATATGGCATAAATTACAGCATTATTAATAAAGGCCTAAGCTTTGTTTCTAAGATAGCAGATGATGTTTCCCAACTGTCTTATAATCCCATTTTTAGGTAACACAGTGGAATAACTTATTCATGTTGTAGGGAATAGAGGGAAAAATAGACTTACTCAGGAAAGGTTCTCATAGGTGTTGGAGTTTATTTACCTGTGGTGCCTTGTGCCACCTCTGCCTGTCTGTGGATGAGATGCAAGACTTCTCCCAGGGAAAACTTGTTTCTCAGACACAACTGGACCTTGTGTTTATGTGCAGCTGTGGAGTATCTCAGGAATCAGATCCCACCACCTTGATGCTGCAGCTAGAGACACAGTCATGCATCTGATAGCAAAGATTTGTGTGTCTCAGGATCGTTAGTGGTGATCGAGCAAATGGCAGTGGTATTTACATGCCAAGCAGAAGTGACAAGGTACCATGGCTTGGGTTTCTTTGGTCATTAAGAGGTAAAACTTCTTCTGGGTGAAGGGGAATAGAAGAGACATATAGACAGATACACACACATATGTAAATCAAGTTCTCCTTATCCTCCAGATCCCTGTGGCACACTTAACACTGTTCTCAGCCAGTACTATTTCCAGTGTTTTAAACAATGGTATGAAGTTTGCTGGGATTATCTGGGTTGTGATCTAGCACACAATTCCTTCTTGTGGCTTTAAACTACATACATTTCTGATTAATTCCCTGTTCCCTAAATTTGAATAGATAAGACTGTCTCAGTGTTATGGAGGCACATGATTCAGATGTTCAAATAAGACTGAATGCATATTTTCTCCACATTTGCAGAATGTTGGTATGAAATTCTAAAACTTGCAAGTGTTTTCCATTTGGCTGGGCACAAAAATACACTTAATTACTCATCTTTTTAGAAATCTAGCAAAACTCAGGGGAGGGAAATAGAACTAGAAGGATGCTCAACTGATTGTATTCCAGGTGTGGATCAAAGAATCTATGAATTCAGGTGCATGGCCCATGTGGTGTCTTCTCCTTTTGTTGTTATCACCTAGAATCATCAGGGTCTGTTGTAGAAACACATCATGACCCAGTCAAAGAAATGATAATATTACGAATATAGAATTAATAGTTGATAATTACAAATCTTTTAAAACTGTAACAGTGGGGAAAAACCCGAATCCTGATGTGCCTTAGGAGGGATTAAAGACACCATTGTTTTCTTGGCTACCTGCTGCACCAATAAATTTGCTAAGTGAAGTGCTAAAATGAACATAAGAAATAGCCCTTGTCCCCCATAAGAATTTAGGGGAAGGTGTAAACTACTCTAAGCTTCTCACTCCCCCATTTTTCCCATGCAATTTGGATTTTCTCTCATTTTGTGAGCTTATGGCCACAGGGCCCTTCAGTCTGCCCATCCCAACATTCAGATCAGAGCCATATCCATCTCTGCCAAACTGGATACTGCAGTAGATACTATTTTATGTTAAAAAAATGCAGGGAAAAGCATCTAAGTCTGTTTTATTATCAACAAGAACAAGCATGCTGGGGAGAGAATATTCACAGCAACCCACTGGTTTGCAGTAAGGGAGGTTTGCATGTAACTCCACAACAGCAAAGCTTAGCAGTATTATTACTGTTGTATTTCCTGCTTTTAGAGACTTCATTTTTGAAACTGGGTTTTAGCCAAATCCGCTTGGAATTTGGCTTAAACATCACACTCCTTGTATAAAACACGTTCTGATGCATCTGTTCATGTTCTGATTTGCCATAGCTTCTTTCCAGTGTTTAAGTAGATACCTTTTATTGCATGCTATATCCAGGCTGTTGGGTCAGGGATTAATGTGTAACTCTCTTTTCCTTTTCTAGTATTTGCCTATCCCTCTTTCAAGGTATAATTTTCTTTACTCTGTCTTTTACAGTGTGGCTGTCTGCGATCGCTGAAGCAGTGACTCCACATAAATCCTCCTCTTGCCTGCTTGACTCTGCTTGTGTTTCTGCTCAGGTTTCATTGATTTCATCGTGGAACCCACTTTTACTGTGCTGACCGACATGACTGAGAAGATTGTGACTCCACTCATCGATGAAGCTTCCCGCTCTGGCATGTCTGGGTTCAGGCGTTCCAGGTGAATAACAGCAGCCCTCTCCCTTCCCTCTGCACATGCTGCCATTGTGCCAACTCCCTCAGTTTCCTCCCCACAGTGTATGTCTTCTACATGGCTTAAAGCCCCATATCTGCATTGGTGACACTGCAGCTCACCTTGTGACATGACTGTTGCAGGGAAACTCCAACCCCGGGGGAGGGCAAAGGAGGAGGCTGTCGTAAGCCTGAGCCATGCCTCCAAAGGCAGTGAGCACAAATGGTTTTAGCCATGCAGGGAGGTGAGCTTTAGTGCTCTCAGTCACTAATATCCTAAAAAAGGTAGAGGAGAGTCACGGGGTGGTGTGCAGTTCTTCATGTCTGGAACCGTAAATGGGATTGAGGTATGGAAGAGGACTGGGAAGTATCAGCACACTTAGTGACAGTATATAGGGTTGCACAAATGTGTGAAGCACCACCAGATTCACATAGAGTTTGGGTGTAAGGAGTCCTGGCCAATTTAACCTGCTCTGCTGTTGCAGAGAAACTACTCTATTAGTTGTTTCATGGACAAGGTATGTCTTGGAATTCAAACACCACCTGGCTAGCGCTCCCTAGAGTAGGGCAACCAAGTCAAGATTCCCTCTCCCAGGTAGCTTCTTTACTCTTGGGCTGTTGCACAAAGAGCAAGCACTAACATCTTTCTATGTCAATTATCTTGCTGCCTTTATAAAAGTGTGCACAAGGAAGTGCCCATCCTTGAAAGACAACTGTGGGGTCTGTAACCAAAATGAGCACCTGGTTTCAGCCTCAGTTGAGCTCACCAAGACGTGGACAGAGGTTTGCCTTCTGTTCTGTGCCTAATGGCTCCCATTGGTGAATTTTAGGAGCCTCCTCCTTTGACATATTTGATTTCTGGAATTATGTGACTCTCCAAAGAATATGTAGGGAGTGAAGATGCACAATGAAGGTAATGGCAACACTTTGAGTGATTCTATTTCTTAGAGACTATGGATACCAAAAACTAAGTGGGGAAAAGCTGCCCTTTATTTCTAGTACCGGCTCGGGTTGTGTAGTTTCCTTTAGTATCATTCGACCTGGGGTGGAAGGATGATAGGTTTAAGCTTAGTTTTTGTTTTTCCTGGTTGACTCTATTAAGTTATCTAGCCTAATGGTCGTTATTTCTCCTTAGCTATGTTTGGGTGTATGGAGCACTGATTTCTTCTGTGTTTTGTGATCTTGTATCCCAGTCTGAATAGCATTAATCCCTCTGAAGTTAAAAGATCAAGTGTCAAGAGCACTGGGTCCGAAGGAAGTGCCTCACTCAACTGCTCCATACTCACTGTGGATTTCAAATGTTTTAAAGCCACCTGGACTGAGGTGGTGCAGCAGAACCGCGAGAAATGGAAAGCACAAGCCACCAAAGGTAACAGCCAGCCTTCTTAGGGAAACAGTAACAATTCTTTTGACCTCTTCTTCTTCAAGCTCTTCTTCAATCAAATTATTCTCCAAGTAAGCACTGTTAGTTTGAAAGAATCTGCTTTCCCAGGTCAGCAACCTACACTGAGCTCACAAAGATAGGAATACTGTGACTCATCTCTGCCTTGTGCTCTTCTTACGTGGTGTTAAGTGTACTTCATGAAGAGGATGTGGACAGTGGGAGGGGGAAAAAGCCAATTGTAAGGGAGGTCCCCTGAAGTCATGAGTCAGACTCAAGGTGGGTGCAAAAATAGGTGGTACAGCGTTTGTAGAGTTAGGTTATCAATTGTTCACTGTTAAGATTGAAAGAGCAATGGATGACTGTTCAGGGGAGGACAGGATATTCTGGATTCGTAGCTGGTTTCCTATTTCTAGTGACAACTTGGATAATGACTTGGGAACTATGCAGCATATCATCAACCTGGGAGGCACTCCAAGTATTTCAGAAGAGCACGAGGGGTGTGTTGGTTGCAGGTTGATCGGGGTTCAATATTGTCATGTTATTGGAAAAAAACCCCACAGAGAAAAAAAGCCCTAAAACAACACAACAAACATC